CTAGATAATGTAGGCCTTGCTGACTTAAAGTAAAGCAACCCTAATTTTTATCTGCCCCTGCAGAGTTTTTTTTTTTTTTTTAAGAAAGAAAAAAGATATTATCAGCAATGCTTTAATAGATTTCAGGATGCAACGTGGGCACTCTCGATCGAGCCGAATCGTTCGTATGACCTGACCTCACCTTTGATTGTGGAACCTAGATTATCGAAGGACGCATTGCTCGAACCCTTAATATGATTTTATGTGGTGGATGGATCATTGACGTATAATACAATCTAGACCGCGCATTGGGCCCGACTTTGGGCGGGGAAGGTAAGACAGCTAGGGGGGTAAAGACGCGCCTTCAGCTTAGTTGATACCGCCGGATATACGAGCTAAGTGTACCCGTATCAGGCAACGGCACTGGCAAGACTGGCATTTCCACGAATTCCACCATTGTCTCGCCGGTACACTTGCTGTGTGTTGCTGGGTTGCCTATCGTCTCGCTTGAATTTCGTAATGCGCGGTCTAGATTGTATTATACGTCAATGGGATGGATCAAACCGAATTTAGGTGAGCCAGGTGTTATCCTCTTGAACCCTGTATGGCATGAATTAATTTTGGATCTCGGATTCTAGGGGACACTAATCTATTTTGTAGCTTGCAGAAAAACACGGAGTAACAAATTTGCTTTCAAAATTTTAAATTCAAGGGAATCAACCTTTCAAAAATAGAAGAAACTACCAAAATGTAGCAAAATCATGCCAGAGGGGCAAGATTCCATTTTTGAAAAGCCTCAAAATACGTTGTTACGAATTCGCAACACTATGTGCCATAGAGGATTAATTGCCTCTTTAAAGGGAAACTTTCGGAGTGCCTGGAAGGTATCCAAGCCTCAGTAAAAAATTTTTCTAAGAGTCGTATGGTGCAAAGGAAACCAGTCGAACACCCTTCGCAGTTTCAAAAAATTATCAGTAATGTTTTGATGGATTTCAGGGTGCAGAGTGGACACATTCGACTGAGTCGAGGTGTTGGTACGAGCTGACTTCAACTTTGATCGTGGAACCAAGATTATCGCAGGAAACATTCCTCGAAAGTTGGAGATGATTGTGCACGAAGTCGATGCATCAAACCAATTTGTCGAAGGAAAATTGGGTGAGTCATTTATAAATTATTCTCTTTAAGTGTTCCTTGAAAGGATCCTACATCAATGCTATTGGCAATCTCTTATCAGGGAGCAGGATCATTGCATGGTGTGTTGGGTGAGTCAAGACAAGCATGAAGAGCCTCTTTGTCGATGTCATGAAGGTGGAAGAAACGGAAGGAGGACAGTGTGACTGGATGGATACTATAAATATTTGGTCTCCTTCCTTTCATCCTTAAAGTGACTTTTCATGAGTGCAATGGCTTCCGTAACTTAAGTATTGTAACCAGAAAATTAAAAACAGCCATTGGTCACGCCTGCGGTGCATTTGTGATGTCGAAATATAATTTAAAATAAGAGGCTCCATGCTCACTCCAGATGCATGGCATATTTGACACATTGGTTGTCAAAGACATCCTCCTCCAGTGTGCGTTGGGTTGTCTTTTAAAAAATGTCGCCCTCCTTTATCCGGGCTACGAACCGGCTGGGAAACCCAGGCGGAGTTTCATTTTTTTTTCTTTTTTTTTCTTTTTTTTTTCTTTTTTTTCTTTTTCTTCTTTTTTTTCTTTTTTTCTTTTTTCTCCTTCTTTTCTTTCTTTTTTTTAAATGTTTTCTCATTTTTTTTTTTTTTTTTTTTTTTTTTTTTTTTTTTTTTTTTTTTTTTTTTTTTTTTNTTTTAATACTTTCTTCTTTTTGATTTCCTTCTGTACTTATTTTTTGGAGTCGCGTTTGAGACGCGCGCTGAGTCGGTCGACTTTTGGCCTGCTCCGCGCTCGCCTCACCCGGTGTCCGTTCAAAGTGCTCCTATCTGCTTGGTTGTTGTGCCAATTTAAAGATCTTAATCTGTTTTATCCGCGTTGTGTTTCGTTTTTCCCGCTATGCTTTTCCTTGACCGTATTTTCGGCTTGGAAAATTTAAGTTTTAGTGAATTAAATTCACATTCCTCATGGCTTCGGCCTAGTTACTTTTCGTTATCAGTGTAATCGCATTTTATCAGTGCCGTTTATCGGGAGTACGTCTCTGGTCCGTCGCTATGAAATAGTATGAAAAATATCGGTTTACCCGTGGTGGTCGGCCTCACTGTGTGTGTGTTCGCTGATAACATTAATCATTCGGAATACGCGGCTCTTCCGTAGTGATAACAACCGCCCCCGCACTCCCCGATCGCCTATTCCGGCTGGGGTGGCGGTGGCGTTACCAAATCAACGTGTGAGTAATCATTAGCTAAATAAAGGATGCACTTTGAACGGACACCGGCGGCTCCCCCCCTCCTCCCGGCCTTTTACACCGACGGGGGTGGGTGGTCCAGCCTATGAGGGTTTTTTCATTTTATATTTTGTATTTATTTATTTATTTTTCTTTTTCTTTTAGTTTTTTTCCCCTCAAGAAACTCCCGAGCGTATGCTCATCCTACAGTGTTGGTTTTTTGCAATGTTTACATTGTTTTTTCCCAACTTAGCTATCCATCGCCTGGAGACAAGTCGCTCCTGCCTAAACCTTTATTGTAGTTAAATTTTCTTTTCTTTGTCATCCAAAACAAATTGATGCCTATGTAAAGGCAGTTGTTGTTAATAGACATACTCCATCTTTTGTCATGTTCATTGTATATTGTATACTTTGTTTTGATCAATAAAGAACTCAAAAAAAAACTTATTTTTTTACTGGTTTATTTTTTAATTGTTTTTCTCTCTATTTTTTATTTTATTTTTTTTCTTTTCCTTTTATTACTTTTTCGATTGAGTCTTTTCTCTGAAGGGCTGAAATATATTATTTTTTTTTTCATTTTTTGAAGACTAGTACATTGAACAGATGCATATTACAAATTTAAAAATTACATTACATGTTTGTACATGACTACAAATGAAAGGACCACAAATGTTGAGGAAAAAAGAAACTTGTTCTTTTACTAAGTTGGGGGAGGAAAAGGCTGCAGTGTGGTCGCGGTGAGTCACGGCCCGTAGAAAGGATAGCATGCATGCTAAACTTACTTCGCTCCGCGACTCACCGACAACACCACTTGTAGTCCAGAGCTCAACTATTCCACAGAACGCTAAGAAAAGCCGAGAGTAGCAGCATGGGAGTACAATTAGTCAGACTGTTGCTGTGAAGTGAACCACTGCGCCTTGATGATTTTTTTGTATTTTTTTCTTATCAGAAACAAGCATGTTTTTAACAAAGAAAGGAAAATGTTCAGAAAACTCTTTACTCTAAAAAAAGCATCGTAGCTGAGTTTCTGTGTTGGGGGAAGGGCGACGACGACTTATGAGTGAAAGTTATCGAATTTTAACAAAGATTTGTTTTCGATTACAGGTGAGTGGCGATTTATCTTTCAAATTCCAGAGGGCAGTAGGTGAAAAAAAAGTTCAAATCTATACAGCAATTTAGTGTAACATTACATTTTGTCTACGTACAACATATATGCTGAGTCAACAAGTAAGTCATTGTATTTGTCTCAAGAAGAGAGAATGAGCTGAATGGAGAAATGAAGCAAGTTGAGCATATATGGATTAAATGTGGAGGTAAAAGACTGCGGAAGTATACTGAATGAGTGAGGACAAATGAGTCGGAGTTCTGTGGTTTACATAATGAGAATGCAGATCCTCGATGAAAACATTGTACATTAGTACTAGGAACATGTACTTGTCGACAGAACAACTTACAGACAGCTGCACTGCCGTGCTACCGAAGGACGCCGTATGAACATTCGAGACTTGCCAAAATTCCCTCGATGAAACGTCCATAATTAAGGAAAGTAATGAATATTTTTCCTTGAGATTTTCAGGAGCTTTAGGTGAAATTGGGAAGAAAATTATCGGAAAAAGTAGAACAGAAACATTCATTTGCTCACCGGGAAATTTGTGTTTCATCAAATGAAATTTGGCAACACTTGAAGGCTCATACGGCGTTCTTCATTAGCTCGGCAGTACAGCTCATGTTTATACATCATTACGAATTTAAGTAAACAACAAAATTTGAAGACAAGAGAAAATGAAAATTTGGCAAGTGGCAACTTATCTTTCAAATTCTGGAGGGCGGTAAGTAAAAAAAAAAAAGTTAAAATTGATATAAGAATGTAATTTTGACTGACGATAAAACATGCAATTTCGAACGAATTCGGAATTCCACGAGGCTACTCCTCGAGTTAGACATTGGAAAATTTCGCCGCCGCGATTGGCGTCAAGTAATTTAACATATGATCATGTCGAAGCTCTTTTTAAAGCTGTCAAACGCAAAAAGCAAGAGACTGTGCATCAACACGTATAAAACCCAACTGATGTTTCAGTAATAAGATTTAAGTATCAAGTTTATGTTAATGTGACGTGTACGATAACTGCTTGTGTCTATGTACAAAAAGTTGCAAAATAAAAATGAAATAGATGAAATTTTCCAATGTCTACTCTGTGCACGAGGTCTGTGAGCTGCGAAACCGGACTTCGGTGGTAAATAGCGCATTGTGCGTCCGAATTAAGTTTCCTTGCACTTTCCTGGTGGCTGATAACATACTCAAGAACGCTAGACTCACAGGTTTTGTCTATTCTGATCAGTGTTCATCAGTCTTTCGACCAAACTTGGGTGCACGGCTACGATATGGAGACAAAACGCCAACCGTCCGTGTGGGCCGAAAAAGGTAGTGCAAGACCGAAAATAGAGCGACGAGCTTGGTCAAAGGTGACAATCGCAGAACACCCATGGAGGTTGCCTTACTTCAAACCACGCACAAACAAAGGTAATTAAGATGTTTAAAATTTGCGAATGCAGCGTTCTTAAGTATATTTCCAGCTATCAAGAGAATGCAAGGTAACTTAATTCAGCAGCGGGAGTGGAAGCGGGAGCCGACGAAGAGGGCCGTATTAAAGATTTAACTATTTCAAACTTATTTAGCCAAAACTCTGTATTTACATTGACAATGAGCAATTTATTAACACATGCTCACGCGCTCCGGGAGTTCTCCCATCTTCAGAGCATGTAACGAACAGGAGACACATCCACTAAACACTATTACATGGTAATAATACAAGAGTCTATGCATGCAAAGCTTCGAATTTTTTGATCACTGACTGGCGAGGAGCTGGCATTTATATAATCACAACAAGTGATCAAGATCAAACTTCAAACGTTTATAGGCACATGGTAGATGAAAATCATAAGAAATGTACATTAGAGGATGTTATAATTCATTATACCAGCGCGGATAGAGAATCGTTCAGAATTCATGAAAATCATGAGGTCCGGAAAAATCTAATTAGAATTCAGAAAATGCTCCATGTTCAAGTTGAAATTGACAACTGTTGGAAACGTTCTTATCGACAAGTGCTGTAATCTCTGATCGGCTGGGTCCGCTTGTTGTGATCACCTGAATACCAACTCCTCGCCAGTCAGTGATGAAAAAATTCCAAGCTCTGTTCGCATAGACTCTCGTATTATTACCGTGTTATAATGTTCAGTGCATGCATTTTCTGGTCGTTGAATGCTCTGAAGATGAGAGAACTCCGGATACGCGTAAGCATGTAAAA